CTGTCATAACAATAATATCTAATCAGCTAGTGGGAAGGGGCAGCAGCGCTCCACGGACATCTCTGCGGCCGGAGCCTGCACAGCAGCCCAGCAGTGGCCACATACAAGTACGTGAACATGCAGGAGCCCCAGATGGACATGAAGTCGGTGACTGACCGGGCAGCACAGACCTTGCTGTGGACAGAGCTGATTCGAGGCCTGGGCATGACCCTGAGCTACTTGTTCCGGGAGCCGGCCACCATCAACTACCCATTTGAGAAGGGCCCGCTGAGCCCACGCTTCCACGGGGAGCACGCACTTTGCCGGTACCCCTCGGGGGAGGAGCGCTGCATTGTCTGCAAGCTCTGCGAGGCCATCTGCCCGGCCCAGGCCATCACCATTGAGGCAGAGCCACGGGCAGATGGCAGCCGCCAGACCACCCGCTACAACATCGACATGACCAAGTGCATCTACTGCGGCTTTTGTCAGGAGGTCTGCCCTGTGGACGCCGTTGTGGAGGGCCCCAACTTCGAGTTCTCCACGGAGTCGCACGAAGAGCTGCTGTACAACAAGGAGAAGCTACTCAGCAACGGGGACAAGTGGGAGGCCGAGATCGCCGCCAACATCCAGGCCGACTACCTGTACCAGTGACGCGCCTCCCAGCGCAGCCTGCTGACCGAATAAATGCGCTCTAACTCCACCCCCCCCAATATCTAATCATGTATCCCTTTTAAACATTTCTTTCCCTCATCTGTTTCAACTCAATATACATTATTTATCCCAACTTTCTCAGTCTCTCCTAACCCCTATGTCAGTCCTCTTTTATAACAGTGGCATTATGCTGTATTTGTCTTTTTTTGCAACTGAGATATTTCACTCAGCATAATGTCCTCCAGAGTCATCCATTTTGTTTAATATTTCATGAGTTCCTTGTTTTTCAATGCAGCATAGTATTCCATTGTGTGACTATACCACAGCTTCTCTATCCATTTGTTTGTTGTTTCCAACCCTTTGCTCTTGTGAACATAGCCAAAATAAACATAGGTGTGTATAAATCTGCTTGGGTGGCAGTTATGGTTTCTTTTAGGATATATTCCCAGTAGTGGAATTGCTGGGTCAAATGGTATTTCTATTTTGAACTTTTTGAGAAAGTGCCACACAGCCTTCCATAGCGGTGAACAAAATTTAACAGAACAGCGAACAACAAATGCTGGCAAGGTTGTGGAGAAACTGGAAGCCTTATTCACCGTTGGTGGAAGTGTAAAATGGTGCAACCACTATATCCCTGTACCTTTTCATTCTGTATGCAGAACAGATCATTTGGGAAACAGGCGTTCTATGACATGCAGATGACACAACCTTGATTGCTGCAAGTGAAGAAAACCTGAAGCACTTGCTGCAAAAGGCCAAGGACTATAGTCTTCAATATGGATTCAAGCTCAGCACCAGGAAGACAAAGATTCTTACCGCTGGGCCAATTGGCAGCACCATAATAGATGAAGAAGAGACTGAGATTAGCAATTACAGCTTGCTCGGATCCACAATCAACACTCTTAATACCAGCAGTCAGGAAATCAGAAG